AACAAAGGCGTAGCCTTTACTTTTGCCGGTAATCTGGTCTCTATGAAGGTCAACGTACTCAATATCACCGAATGGTTGAAAGACCTGCCGCAAATCGTCATCTGTAAGATTGAAGTTGAGAGAGCCAACATATAGTCGAGCATAGCTGTTGGGATCGTTTGGGCCTGGGCCACTGAAGAAACAATGTGTCAAGAGTGTCACCTGAATCTGTAGCTAGTCGTTGGACTTACCGTGGCTTGGGAGCTACATATGATCTCTGGACAGGTGGAGCTGGTGGGACAGTCACTAAACCCGCAGCGACATTGTTGGGCTGGGTGTTGGCCATGGCTTGACGATTCTTTTCGGCTTCGGTATATTGAACCATGACTGGCAAGCCAAGCAACTTCGTACCAGTCAGTGCCAATGCTTTCTGAACACTGTCTAATTCGCGAAACTCTACGTATCCCACGCTAGAGAGATGGAAGAACTGTGAGTGTGAATTTGGCTACGTAGGAATTGAGGAAAGTCACAAACCCTTTGGAACGGCGTGATATCCTATCCGTGATCACTCGCGCGTCTCGGACTTTGCCTGCCTGTTGCTCGAAGAATTGGGAGAGTTCGCGATCGCCCACACGAGCGGAAAGTTGAGAGACAAAAACGGAACGCATCTCATGTTCTTCCTCTGTCAAACTAAGGGTGAAGAACGTCAGTCCGGGTATCGGAGGGAGAGGTTGGAATGAGCTCACTGAGGGCTGGAGGACCGGCGGGCTGTCGGTGAAGCTGTCTGCTCATAGGGACGGTAGCGTGGGCTACGGCGATCAGGACGTCGGCGCCTGCAATTGGGATATATCAGCGGCTATCGAAAAATTTGGACAGTGCAAAGTGAACATACTTGTCTTCCCCTTCGGCTTCTTCGTACCTCCTGCGTCGTTCAATTTCTCTGTCATCTATAGGATCATCGGGACGGTGACTCCGATCTCGAGATCGGTCCTTACTCCTGCTGCGATGCCGCTTACGGTATCTTTCACGCTCCTCATCAACTGGATCATTAGATCGATGTCCGCGTTTATGATCGCGCTCGCGGTCTCGATCCCGGTGTCGCTCGCGCTCGCGGTCCCTATCACGCGGTCGATCTCGATCTCGTTCCCTTTCATGGTCTCTTTCACGGTCTCGTTCACCATCACGATCAACTCCATCACGATCTCTATGATCACGATCACGACGTCTGTCACGGTCGCTGTGAGTGCGTTCCAAGTCACGTGAAGTCGAACGATGCCGACGATGACTGCGACGGCTAGTATGACTGCGGACATCGGAATCTTTTCCGGGAGAACGATCGATAGGGCGTCTGGAATGGAGTGATAGTGTTCAAGGAATAAACGCCGGCCAGTTCGTCAGTAGCCTTGATGAGATATGATAAGTTCATAACGCACTCATGACGCTCGGACCGTTCGCTTTTACCCTGTGATAAGATGTTTGGTTATTAGCGGATGAAACAGATATGACCGGGGTAGAGATGTATCAGATGCTACATCACATACGTTATCCCTATCCCTCTCACTACGCTCACGATGTCGACGACTACTATCTCTATCAGTCTCGCGAGACTTATCGTCTGACCTGCTAGACCGCTCTTTCTCTCGACGATGTCTTGAGGAACCATTTGTTTCTTTTTCATGATGAGATGTTGATTTTTCCTCTGGACCTGTTACTGAAATCTCTTCACTTTCTTCATGTCCGCTTCGGATCGTCATGTCAGCTTGCCTATCATCGGTTTTGGTTTCTTCCTGAGGATGGTCAGTCATCGAATCATCCTTTGCTTTACGAGGTGGTGGTGAAGATGATTTGGAAGGTGGAGAAGCCATTGGTTGATCGGATGACATGATCAAGCGAGAATGTATGCTATGAAAGATGAAGTTGGGTTTCAAACGATTTCAACTTTCACTGCAGATCGACATTCTCGAACATCAATTTCAAATGTGATTCAAGTGGTTTACCAAACTGGGTTAGGGTTAAGTCGGCATCTCTAAGTGCAATACAGCTTATGAAACCTGAGCTCAAACACATAAGGGTTTTGTCTGGTTTTATCTCGATTCTCATGGGTCCGAGAAAGAAAGTGGGGAGGCGTCAAGGAGCGTGCCGTGTCATCGAGTGCGGCTACAGGTGCGCGAGTGAAACTTTTGAACAAGGCGCGACTGGACAGACTCTGCGTGGGGGATGCAAAATGACAATCCAAGAGGAAATGGATGAAAGGGTCCTCGCCGTGGCACCAGCCGATCGATATAAGCTCTTGAAATATGAAACTTGAACCATGCTAGACAGAAAAAATGCCCTTGCTTGAATTCTTGCATGTTCATGTGTCCACATCGGCAGCCGCACAGAGTAATTACAACCACAAAAAAAATCCAAATCCATCAGTAAAAAAACAAGACTTTTGAAATTTGTTTTGCTGAGGATAAGTTTGGATAGTCATCAACAAGACGACCTCAAAAATTATCTCAATTTGCTTTGCGACTTGTGGCACAGTTTTTGAAAAAATACCCAAGTGGTTCTTGCTATCATCAACCATGAATTTTTCACTTCTTCTGGTTCTGTTGATGGTTATACTTATGTGTAATTCAAATCCATCCAAATCTTCAGCACAATTCTGTGGTGGTAAACACGTCATACCTGCATTTATCAAATCTCCAAGAAATCCTCATACAATGAAGAATGTAACCTCAAGGTACAAAACTGACAAACCAGTTCGAACTTCGGAATGACTGTTCCCTTCAGCCATCTTTCCCAATTCTTCAAAGAAAAAAAAGGCACAGAAAAAAGAACCAAAGAAAGTCTTGCACGATATAAATGAGAAAGAAATGGTACATGGGTTGTACCTGATTTGAATCAAGACTGAAAATGAGGTCCAGGACGAGATGATAGAACACACTGGATTGATAATCTTGGCATCCCTACATCTTAATTTAATATTTATCTACAAGAATCGATTTGGTAAGATTCGATCAATCGGATTCCAAGGTTTTACCATTTTATTAAATCCATCATCATCCATCATTACCTTTCTCTTGATCTCAAGCAATCTTATTGAACTTTAAAAATAACCATTTCTAATCGTAAGTAAATCATATAAGTTAGATTTGTTGACATCGTTTCTTATCTGTACTAATCATTTACCTTTGAACACATTTCCATCAGATCTTAAACCACCTCAAACCAGAACCAGAAATGACAGAAATCGGACCATTACCATTACCAAGCTTTGTGAGTCTTTAAAGAATTGATCAACGAACTCATCAGTACAGAAAGCATTGACTGAAAGTTACCAATCATTCCAACCTTTTTGTCTTATACTGTAGTTAATTGATCCTCAAGATGGAGAATTCACACCTTACGATGCAAGATCTTTAGTGGATCCATCCGATTCATCAGACCAATCAGAACACAAAATCTTACTTACTACCAGCACCAAACCATCACCATCACCAGTAGGACCACCATCGTCATCAAGTCTAGGATTCTCACCCATGACATCAACTCCTACTAACACGACTAGTACCAGAAGTCGAGCCACATCAGATGCGCTTGAGAAACTATTATCGATCCAAGCTCAACAATTAACAGCCATAGGTGAAGCATGGCGAGCCAAGTTTTCATTAAACAGATTAACTACTTGTCATGAATCCAACTTGAATGAACCGTATGATACTCAGATCAATGGACTTTCAAAATCTCAAAGATCTTTACGGTTGGCTAGTACTCGCAGTCATGGGTCTAGTGTTTCAAAGAATGAAAAGGAAAAAAGTTGGAATGATGGTACTAGATGTTCAGTAGATTCACTTTCGAATCATGCATCGATGTTTGAAGAAACGAATGATGTTCAACTTGATGTAAAAGAAGAAGAAGAAGATCGATTAGAAACTCGTCATCAAGACTTCACACTTCTTACTGAAGCGGTTCTTCATGAATTTCTTCATTCTACTCATCACTCTATTATCGATCATAAAACTTTGGTCTTGGATTGGTTAAACCATTCTAACTTTAATGATTCAGACAACTTTAATGGATTCCAAACTGATGAGCTTTAAATCCCTCTTGTTTTCTTTATTCTCTTCTTCATCTTTCTTGTTCTCTGTAACTCTTGTATCCTTCTTTCACTACCGCAGTGTTTCTTTTTTTCTTTCCTTAAGCATTTTTCTTATTCTTTCTTTCTACTTTCTTGTCTCCTTTTCTCCTTTTCTCCTTCTCCTTGTCTTTCTCATTATCTTATACTCGATTTGTTTAGTCAAAAATTCTAACTTGTAAAACCAACACTCTTTTGTATCAACTGCATTTTTGCTTTCCATAGATTCTCTCATCTTTGTATTTCACCTTTTTCTCAGTACTTTTTATTTTGAAATTCACACTAAATCTGTTTCTGAAGTAAAAGCATGTTGTAAGAAATTCATTGCTGTTTTTGAACTACAGCCTTGCAGTTTAGAGTGTTTTATTCAAAAAACATCAATTCTGGTGTCTGAAATCCAAGCTCTAAACCAATTTCCCTGTCTGCAAAATCATTCAGTTGATGGGATATGCATGGTAATCCTATGCAAACCCATCGGCATAACTTCCTTCAAAAACGTAAACCCTTCTTGACCAAAGTAAAGTATAAATTCGGGGAATGAAATCCAATTGAAACCTTCACCATTTTATAAAACTTTGTACTCTCACTTGAAAAATAAATTGATAAAAATGATCATCACGATCAGTAATGTTAAAAATGGTTTTCTTTCAAAGAAAAAGAAATCATCATTATACGAATTCGATCTTTATATAAATAGTTTTTAAAAAAGAATAAGCTACAGACCAAACAAATTGAAACCAAGGAAAAAAAGTATCCAAGAAATCTATGTCTACATATTTCGAAAAGAAAAGAAAAGAAAAAACCTAAATCAAAAAGAAAAAAATTGAATTTAGAGAAACGGATTATAATAAATATGCAAGATAAATAAATGAATGAAAGTCGAAATTTTGAAAAAAGAGTTTTTGCTAAGAAGAAAGATTGTTAGGTTTTTTGCTAATTCGAGAAAAGAAATGAAGAAGAAAAACTAGAAAGAAAGACTCGTATAACAGATAAATTCAAAAACAGAACGTCATGATACATTAATTTAAAGATAGGTTTTGGTGGGAAAATGTAAACTGAAGGTTTGTGATGAAACGTCTGTATCAAAGAAAAAAAACCAAAAAAAACAAAAAAACCACATCTTTCCTTTTGTGTTGTTGTCAAAACAATTGTCTCTAACGATGATAATCTGCAACAACCCGTTCAATCCACCTAACCACAAATCCAATTTCAAGCAAATCAAACCGATGATCAAGTTTCGAAAATCTTTGAAACCGAGATGATTTAAAAAACTTTAAACTTTCCAAAGACTCAAACCCATTCTGAGCCTTTGAAATTGGAAAATACGGATCGCTTTCACCGTGTAACCAGTATAGGGAACTTATTCCTGTTCGGTTTGGTAAGATCATTTGAGGAAGCTGGGTTGGAAGAGGTAAGAAACCTGACTGTGAACGAAACTTTCGGGTCAGTAAGGTCAAGCTAAAGACATTCTGTTGAGATGATTACTTACAAGCATGATCACTCCTGCTGGTGGTTGATCTACGTTAAGGCTCAGTAAGAGGGACATCACTGCACCTGTATTGGCAAGTAAAGCAAGGAGAAACCAAGATCCATCAGTGAAGTACTCTACAGAACACCCCAGCGCAGATCCGAAAAGAACGCTTCAAAGTACCTTGACTAAATCCCATGAAAAAAGTCTTACTCATATCCAATCCAAGTTGATGAACCAATCTATCCAATCCCAAAACATTTTCCTTCATCCGAATCGAATCTTCACCAGACCTTAAATCTGACCAATCATGAATATTAAACCAAGCAGGAGTTTCGACTCCATTCCATACGTCTACTGTTACTCTTTTGGCAAATGGAATGATAAATCTAACTTGCTTGAAAAAAGTTGGATTAAGGTTTATGAGATGATCTTTGATGAAGTACGAATCTGATGCGTTTATTGAACCTAAACCATGAAGTAGAACAATTGTCCATCCTTCTTTTTCTTCTAGTTGATCGGAAGAAGAAGAATTAGTGGAGTTGGATGGAATGATTTCGTAGTGAATTGGAAGGCTTGGAATCGGGATTGGTAGAGTTGTCCATTGACTTGGATCATCAAGATAAGAGATTGATAAACCAGTTTGATTAAAAGCTTTCGGATTCCATAATCCAAGAGATGAACTAATCAACACTAAAAAGCTTTCAAAAAAAGTAGTCGTGAACCAAATGATAGTAATGATTAAAGAAAGTATAAGAAATGGACATTGATATTTGGTTTTTTGTTTTCTTTTTTTTGTTATGGTTGATGAGTTTGATAAATGTGATTCGGTTTCGGCCATAGGTGTGATGGATTGATGATCATTAGTAGGTTCGAACATTAGTCGGGTCAGTTCTGGTTCTTTTGGTTTTCTATAGCTTTGATCATCAATTTCTAATGAAAGACTATTTGATTTGTATTCCGAGTATGACATTTTGATGTTATTTCTTGATAACCACACCTGGAAAGAGTTGTCGGATGATGGTTTATTGCTGCAAAGAAGGGGTCCGAGAAATTTGTAGGGTTAGAATGGAGTGGGTGATTTACAGTCCTGTTACTGTAGCTTAGATTAGTAAATTGATTTCTTGATGATTCGATTTGGTGGGCTTGATAGGCTTGGTTCATTTGAGTGGGGTGAGTTGATGACTTTCAAAGATTGAGAAATCGATATTTCTACGCAGTTCAAAACAGTTTCATAGTTGGATTTGATTTGATTAAAAAAGCGCAATCATGAATCTGATGAAGGCGTTTTACTTACCCCATCCACCATATTTATGAACTTAAAACCAAACCATTCAAGTTACAATTTACGGTTTACTTACCTGGTCCGTGACTTGGAATATGATTCACTCTGCAAACCTCTTGAGTCACTTTCACAGCTCAAGTAAATCCATGTGATGACCCACAACCAGGGTCCTCACATCCATGAGCTGATATCTTTCATCTGCTGTCGGTTATAATGTGGTGATATCCAAGAAGCCTGTTAAAGTAGGTTAAAGTGTTGATCATGAGAAGACAATTCAGCTTACAGTTCGTCGATCCTATTGGACTTAACGTTTTTCAATTTTAGTCTTCCTCTTTAAGAAAGTGAACTTGACTGGTTTATGAACATTTAACCACGTATGCTAGAACGATAACTCAATCCATTGCAATATACGCCATGACCGTCATCTATTAGTAATGCTCCTCATGATTTGATGAACGGTTTAATTTCTTAAAGAAGATAACTGGGAGTTTGGTCAGTGAATGCTAGGAGCAGTCATGAATTGGTGATGAGACATTGCGTAGGAGGATATACAGTTCAAGATATGAAGGTGTAATCAAGTTCGGTGATCGTGTACGATTAAGACGAATTGGAGGTCAAGAAGGGCTTTGCAGGACCCCGGAAAGCTCCCCCTGAACCAACCGACGTAAAACCCGGATTTTGAGGATTTTCATACCCAAAAATCCCGGACTTTTGGAGCTTTCATACCAAATTGGTCGGTAACAGTTCAGTACCAAAAGTGAGCCCCGGGCTACAAAGCTATGTTTTGGTGCCATTTGGTGCCAAAAATGTTGGTATGACGATGAGATTTTAAAAATTATACCGGGCACGTCTGTAAGATGAATGACTACAGTGCATAAAGCCTAATCTCAACTACAGGTCTTCCTGCCAAATAAATTCGAATTTCAACCCCGGTGTTACAGAAATCCGCTCAACCATTCACACCTTTTTGTGATAGTTCTGGAATCATGGAACTGGCTAGATTCTAATACTATGGTCCATGGGACCCTGGGACCCCCCCAAATTTTTTTTTTTTTCCATCAGCCTAACATTTGGGACCCATACCTAAGCCGCCTACTTAAGGCCTTAGGTACTTAGGCTAAGCCCTTAAGTACCTAGCTTACGTCCTTAAGTACCTAGCTTAGAGCATCCACTATTGTTTGAGTAAATCTTCTGTAAATTTTCTGTACATACCCACTCGGTACAGTATCTTTAGATACAGAACAGTGGATTTCCACTATTGTTTCAGTACATACCATTCTGTACGGTACGTACCGTACAGAATAGACCCTGTCCCACAATCGTGTGCTCTGTAAAAGAAACTGCAAATCTCAAATCATGAAGTTGACTTGTTATCATTGCTCAAGACGGGTTGAAGTTTGAGAACAAACAGTTGATCAACTATCATTTACAAGTCAATCAGTTCAAAAACAATCATTGGAAAAACCATCAAGTTGAAAACAATGGATCTGAAAGAAAGAATCAAAAAAAAGGATCGAGAACAATCGATTTGAGAACGATCGATTTGAGAACGATCGATATGAGAACGAGCAATTAGAAAACGATCAATTTGTAAACAATTAATTTGACAACGGGATGACTTGATAAAAATGGCAATCAATGTGATGAGTACAAAATGAAAGAGGGTGAGCAATGGGTTTGTTAAAGGAGAGGTGTATGTATATAGTATTTGTTTTTTGGGAGTGGTGGTGTGATCGATCATGATGTGTGACTCGGTAAAAGTCCAGTAGATTTTCAGATACCGAGTCGGTAGAGGTCCAGTACATTTACTAGACCTCTACCGACTTTCTACCGATTCAGTAGGTGCCGATGGGCATTTTGGACACGAGTGGGGAATTTGGGCCTCGGTACGGTAAAATTTACCGTACCGAGGCCGTTTACCGAGACGATTGTGGATGCTCTTATATACTGTAAGTCCTAGCTTAAGCCTCTAAGGTCCTAGCTTCAGTCCTTATGGTCTTAGCTGGAGGGTTCAGCTCTGTTCAGCTCGTTCAGCGTGAGCGATCAGGGTTCAGTTCAGCTCTTTCAAAGCTCAAAGCAAACTGAGAATTTCAAAAGTGGAGAGTGAAACAAATCAATAACAGAAGTGATAACAAAACACTGTAAAGATTGTGATATTATAAAGATCGAGTTGAGGTAAAGATCAAGTTGAGGTAAAGATCAAGTTGAGGTAAAGATCAAGTTAAGATAAAGATCGAGCGGATGAAAAGATCGAGCCGACGTAAAGATCGGGTTGATTCATTCAAATTTAGAGGATGATAAGACCAAGCAAATGAATCATAAGGAAACAGATATCAAAAGAGGATTGAGTGAAATAAAGATATTTTGAGTGTCTAGCCTCTGCTCTATGCCTGCTGGTTATTCTGGTTACAAATGACATTCAAATCCATGAATGCGTTTTTAGGAACTCTTCGGTGAGAGGAATACTTTTTGACCATCTTCTTGGCCAGCGGTCCAGAGAGCCCTTCCCTATAGAAGCTCGATAAAGCTCAATGAGTGAGACATCTGAACAGAGAGTGCTATTAAGGCGACTTACTGATACGCTGAATGCCATCGATCGACTGTTCGAAAGTACCTCCGGATAGTAGACAATGGGCATGATTGTCTAACAACTTCAAATAGCTGCTTCGCATTTTTGAAAGTGATGGTTGCCGAGGTTTGGTATCGAAAACCTGATGTAAGATTTGTGAGTGGGTTACATATATGATATGAGACCGGAATACAAAGATGAATCAAAGGACCTACTGTCTTTGATGTACGCCCAAAAGAGTTCAATAGGATTCAGCTCGCAGTGAAATTTTGGGAGAAACAAGCATCGATGGCCTGCTTCTTCAATGACTTTTTGTAGGAGAGGCTTTTCATTTAAAAAGTCGGATTGTAAGCTAAGTATCGTAGACCAGCAGCAATCTAAAGAGTTTTGAATCGAGTTGTTTGATGATTGTGATGCTTGAGAATCGAATTCCTCCATAGAATAGCCATTTGCTTCGGCTTCCAGACGAGCTGCTCTTGTTTTGGTGTCTTGCTGTACCCCCGACTGCTTACAGTTCTGGCACTTGTGAAGCAGGGCTGGCCTTCCCAAAGCTGCAATCTCTTTTTTGTAGTGGTCCCATAAACCACGCTCTTGAAGTACAACTTTGATTCCTTTAGGTTCGCCAGCTAGTGAAACGTTATCGTGGTTGGATGGGTAGATCATTGATTGAGTTTGACCGCGTAGATGAAAAGGTATTTTGGGATCATCAGTTGGAATGATCGTATCTCGAAGGGATCGACCTTTCTTTCCTCCAGAGTTCAAGTTCATGTTTTGTACGTGCAAAGCTGAGTTTCCATATGCCTCATGTGCTGCTGAGCAGTCAAATACAAATACAGCTTGACAGTCGACGTGGAGTTTATTGAAGATGGGAATTGCTCGAGTTTGAATTTGCGAGATAAGCTGTTCCATATCTCACCACTTGTCACCATTTGCCCCTGGATAAATAACCATGGCAGCATCATTCACTGTCTCTGATTCCGAGGTTCTGATGTGATTGGCAGGAAGAGAAAGACGGCCGGTAGTTTCAAGAATAAAATCGGATATGTGGATGAGGTTGCCTTGACTTTTAGATCGGAGTTCGTTCGTGCCAGGTAAGAGCCAAGTATGTTTTGGTTGTTCTCTCGAGTGGACAGTGGATTCGTCGTGATAAACAAAAACCGTCTCATGTTGGTCACCGAGTACTTCAGGATCAACAGAGGCGGACATCTCAAGGTCTTTTCCTTCATAAACTCGAGAGCGCTTTCGTAGATCAGCAACCATCTTCAAGAACACTTTGCGAGATTCAATGACATCAGGGTGTTCATGACCATCAAAGTATATCGACTTTTTGTAATCATGTGGCCGAAATCCTAGTTTGTACATCCAACGATAAGCTGTGACATACGAGATTCTCTCTTTGTAATTGAATTGAGGTAGGACAGTAGTGTTTGTGTACTCTAAAAAACGTCGGGGAGTCACCTGGTAAAAAGGGGAATGTTGTCAGTCATTAATGTTGTTCCAACACAAAGTCTTATGGAACTACTTTAGAATCACATGAAAGACATACCTCGCCAGGTTTTTTCTCCATTGCCCACAATTGAAGAGCTTTAGATAACGGAGTGTCGTCGATCAAAGAGGGATGAGGTGATGCAAAGCCAGCCTTTGTGGTTTGTATCTTGTTATGTACAACAATGTAGGCTGCCTGTTGGCGAATTTTACGAGCTCGAGAGATTCCTGAGCTGAACTGTGGATGTTGTTTAGGTAGACGGCGGCAAGAAGATTGTGCTGTGAGAGTTGAAGCCTTCATCGCTGGTGATTTGCTTCCGGATAGAACAAGCTCTTTATAACGAGAGTTGTATTCACGAAGCTCGTCCAATATTAGAGAGGGAATTACCAACTTCGGATCCTTTTGTCTCTCACCATTGTAGTAATCTGTAGCATTGTTGATGGCATTATTGAGCTCTTCCCACTTTTGATTGATATCAGATACCGGATCTTTATTTGATTTGAGTTTTAAGGTCACCTGCTGATGATCAGTCTGAGTTTGAGAATTTGACTCTTGATGTCCTTCTTGTTCATCAAGATCTTGATGGCTCTCTTGTTTATCAAGAATTGGTTCATGATCATCAGGTTGTGTGTCAATATCACTGAAGCCTTTATCACCGGTAGTTGAGGCATCATTGTTGGAAGAATCATATGTATCAGAGGAATCATATGCATCATGATCTTTATTACTGGAGGATGAGTCAATGTGAAATGTGGCGGGTTCAGTGATTGGTTGATTTTCTTGAACAACAGGACCACGTGTCTTCCAAGCATCGAAGAATCCAGTGTTGGCTCCAACGGCGGCCTTTGCTTTTTTTCGGCGATTGTGCTGGGTCTGTTTCGGGACAGCCTTTGGTTGGAGTTTTTTGTTTAAAGGGTCGTCATGTATTTTTGGTTGTTTGTATTGTTGAACTGGCTGGCCAAAGCGATCTTTACGTTTTCCAATTCGAGGTTTGGTGCGGTCTCGTGAGTAGAAAACTGGCCATAATTGTTTGTGAAGATTTTCGCTATTTTCTCCTTCATCCTCTGTATCAGCTATGTTCTGTTCAATGAAGTTGATTATCTCTGCCTGATGGTCTTGTCTTTTTTTCTCGGCTCTTCTTCGTGCTCGTTGAGCTTTCTTTGCTGCACTGACTGCCATAGTATATGATGAAATGTAAAATAATGCAGATGTCTGATGAGAAAACGTGGTTACGTGGCAGCTTCCTTACAGCTGAAAAATTTGGATTTTTCTTCGACCAACAATTGGGACCGGGGCCGGCCCCGGCCGGCCCCAGGTAAAGCTGTAGTTGAGATTAGGCTTTATGCACTGTAACAAGCCATTTTCATACCAGTTTGGTCGGTAAGAGCATCCCCAGCCGTGCCGTAAATTCGTACCGTACGGAGGGTCGCACGGATCGCTTAGGGTACTGTTTGATGCATGGATTTTGAACCATGCACAGCCGTGGTGCCGTACAGTACGGCTTGTAGCATAATTTGCAAAGTGTATTATGGGTTAGCTCATCATCGAGGTGTATGATTTGCAGAGAGTGCGATTGTACAGGTTGGAGTTATGGGGAAAGTGAGGTACGGGAAGATTTGGGTCGACCCCAAATAGAACATATTTGGCCTATTTTGGCTCGCACGTAGAGAATTGCCTAAGCTAAGTATGTATTTGGGGTAACGGCTGTGGATAAAAATACCCCAAATCTACGTACGTCACGGTTTACGGCACACGGCTGGGGATGCTCTAACATGACCAAATCTTGACCACTCAAATCATACCAAACACGTCGGTAGGTTTAAGGGGAGCTTTCCAGGGTCCTGGCTTTGCACTCAAATTCGGTGCGGGTTTGTTTACCCAAAAACCGATCTGCGCACTCAGGAGTCAGCAATGGCAAGTTGTACTTTTCTTTTTCCGGGACTTCAAGTTCCATGCCGTGATGATATTTTTGGTTACCGGCATATCAAATTGTAAACAGCTTCGAACGGACCGATCTAAGAGCGCGTTATGAACTCTTCAAAGCTCAAATCCAATGCTTGGCAAGATTCTTCTGAACCCAACCCAACCTTTTTAGCCTTGAGTCTTGACTTAGATTGAAGGTGTATGTATGTATACACACACAGATGAAGGCTTCCAAATCCCATTCGTCGCTAAGAAACTCACGAGAGATCAAAATTCACTAGACAACCCGAATCATCTTTCCTTCCATCTTTCTCCTGGCGTCTACAAGGCAACTTGAAGGCTTTAAGATTTAACCCTAAGTTGGGATGTTTAAAGTGATTTGAAAAAGTTTTAGTGTATGTACTATCTTCTTCTTGGTCTCATTTCATATCGGTTTCTTTTCTATCGTCAACTATTCTACCAAACACCCTTTGATCTTCTCGTTTTTGATTCATCACTTTCATTTCTTTTTGGAAAAAATGTTTTATATTTTATTTTTCTTTAGTTTGATTTTCTTAAATGTTAAAAGTATTAAAATTAATAAACGTTTAGAAACTCATCAAGATCAAATCCAAGTACAAGAAAAAGCAATCAAGAATGAAAGTCCGATTAGTTTAGGTGATTTTATGCCTTCTTGTGGTGGGTTTCAAGATGAATCATTTGTTGATTTTAATTCTGGGATTCATTTGGATCAGATTAAAGTAAGTGATTCGAATCTTATGCTTGGAATCTTTCGATTCCGATTTAAAATGACTTGTTGACAATTTTCTAATACTTATACTCATTTCTTTTTTTTGGCTTTCTTTTCTTTCTTTCGGATTAGACTTTTTATACATTTGGTGATAGTTGGACTGATCTAGGAAACGATCTTGGAGGCACTCCCTTAGCAGCTCTCAAGCCAAAAAGTTCATGTCCATTCTATGGTGGTAAGTGATTTTTCTCTATCATATCTTGATCTCAAAAGTAAAACCTAATCATCATCTTTTTTTTTTTGCAGGTAGACCAACCAATGGAAAGATGTGGTCAGAATGGTTAATTGAGATTTTACAAAATCATTCAAATGTTAAAAATTATGCTGTTTCTGGTGCTACGGTTGATAAGACACTTTGGCATTCTGCTGTAAGATCCAAATCTTATCTATATATATGTTTTAAAGAATCAAATTAAAAGTTGAAAGATCTTATTTATTTCTTGTTTTTTGCTTTTTTGCTTTTTCTCTTTTTTTCGGTTAGGATAAATCATTTGATATGGCTATGGAAATCGATAGATTCTTGTGTCAAAAAAATCAATTTGATCCTTCATCGTAAGTAACGCCTAATATTTATTTTCTCTTTTAATGGTATGAAACCACGGATACCAGAAGTTGAATGTTCATCTTATTCCTTTCATACTTATGTACATAGATCGATGGTTACATTATTCTTTGGTAATAATGATTTTATTGCTTCTAATATTGAATCTAATCAATTATCTTCATTAATCCCATCATCTCAAAAGTTTTTAAACCAAACTAAAAGATTAATCGATTCAGGTTTTACGAATTTCTTAATCTTAAGTTAGTCAAGTTCTTATCTTTCTTTCTTTCTTTTTAAAAAAAACAACAAATCTCAATAAATCTTGATCATTTCAGTTTAAATGTTTTTTAAAAAAAGCTAATGATCAAAATCCTTGAATATTTTTTGTATAAAATAGCACCAGGCTTTGATAATAATAAACTTAAAGAATTTAATAATCTCATTTGGAATGGATTAAAAGATTTTAAGAAACAAGATTCTGATTTCCAATTCATTACCATTCATCTTT